AGGCCGTGGTTACTTAGTTAATTAATGTTTTTATTCTTTTCTATTTATATATAGACTATTATATTATTTCTATATATATATAGACTATTTATAATTTGCATTTAATGCATTCCTGTTCATGTTATTTCACCTGATGTCTCAGTTTTTGTTGTCACGTGCCCGAGGAAAAGGGAGCAGAGACAAAGAAATGCAAGGTCCAAACTGTCCATTATCTTCGTTCAAACTGAAATATTTTGATTTTTCTTTTTATTCTCCACCCCTCAATCCATAATGCACAGTGTGTAAAACCCACTGACTTTGGTTGCAGTTGTGACTTGCAAAAATGCCACGTGCCTGGCCTGTGATGCCTCATATAAGGGATGGGAGTCATGAAAAATGAGCAATGTGTATTTATTGTCCAGCTGTTTAAAATGTGGTTGCTGGTATTGCATGGAAACTTTGAGACAGAAGCAGGGAGAGAATTTGGTTCTTCAGAGCCTTTCAGATAACTTGATAATTCTTAGTGCATGGGTCCCCTGGCTCCCAATGTCCCAACCAGCTTCTGAAGAGAACAGGCAGAGCCTTGCCCCCCTCTTCCTTCGCACTCCATTCCTAGAGCCCTGGCCGTGTCATGCACTGGGAGGGTCCTGTGGAAAATATGCAATGTGATCGCGTAATTAGAGACTATACAGAAAAGCATAAATGCAAGGAAACCAGATTGGGGCAGTATTAACATTTTATTCAATTGAATGTTGATCTTGGCACCCTCCCACCCCCCTTTTTTAAAAAAATGGATGGGTTATATCTTAATGAAAATTTTTAAAAAATCCTCTCTTAATACATCATCATCAGTGAAGAATCATTGAGAGTGCAGGATCTCTAGAGAGTTCAAATCATTTGAATTGGCAATAACCTGCTGTAATAACAGGGCATTAGCCTCCTCGATAATTAGATGGTCTTTGTTAATGCAAGAATAAAAATACTTTCTCCCATAATGGATGAAATGGGCTTTTGCTGGCAACATTTGCTGGGTATTTCGAGACTTCAGGTGAATGTAATGGGCTGGTGCCTTTAAATGCATCTGTTCTCCTGTATAAAATCACCAACTTGTTTTGCCTGAGGGTCTTTCCAGCCACTCACCCTCTGTCTTAGTTGGAATTACAGGGTAGGGTAAATTTTAAACCTGCAGAGAGGTTTCAGCAGTCTCAGGATTTGTTACACAAACCACATATTTTGGAGGATGAGGGTAACAGTTACCATTCCCATTTCACAGTCAGAAGAAACACAATCCTCAAACGCAAAATGAAGTCTCAGAGATGTTATGTGAAGCATATTGTAATGTGGCACATAATTTTGGGAGAAAAGTTTCTAAGGGTGGTCAGCTCTTCCTGATACTGTGACTGATGACCAGCAGAGGGCAAAGTAAGATAATGAAGATTGCAGTTTTGTTTAGGAATTGTGTGTTTTATTGGAATAAAAGCATACAAGAAAAGTACTCTGTCAGTCCCACAGTGAGCCTTTCAAAAGCCTGCAAATACATTTACATGTTCCCTCTCTTTCTCTTAAGCACTCCTTTCTCCATTAGTCTTTGAAAAATAAGGTCTCCTTTTGGCTTTTTGCATTTATCTCAATTATGCTACATCATTATGGACTCCATTTACCAAGGAAGATAACATGCTTTCTGAATGACATGCACCCCATTCTGGGTTAAGAAGGTCAAGCAAGATACTTTCTTTTTTCATCTTGCAATTAATAATAGTAAGGCCGAGCATTAGATCAGGGAAGAGCTTTTATATAT